CAAGTTTACTTGTCCATTTGTTTTTCTTTCAGAGATATAACCATTTTATTTTAGCTAACAGCTCAATTTTATTGCAATAAATTCTCGATAAATGGACAGAAACGAATTAAAAGATTTTGGTGATTTTAGCTGAAAAGTGAAACAATCGCATAGGCAGTGAATTAACTGTGACAATCATGTAGAATGGAAGTGCTTACATTCTCAGCAGATATGCGAAATGATGTCACATCCGACCTGTGATTTAGAAATATCTGCAGTTAGGAGATACAATTCTCCGCTCTAATAATCCAGCTACAGCTGTATCTTACATGATTGCCGCATTATAAAGGATAAATCTGTGGTTGCATATGCAATTTGTCACTTTCTTCTACTCGACTCGGTCATTACATTTTCAGGTTTATATTTATACCTGAATTAATGCATTGTAACTGTCATATTAAAGTTAGAGAATTTTTCACTTCATAGTCGCAAATAAGCTGAATAAAAATTACGATCAAAGAATACACAACCACATCGTATATGTTGGAAACTAATGAAATAATTAGGTTATAATTAATAAATGGTGAATAATTCCTAACTTAAGTAGAAAAAATATGACAGTAATTATGTATGTCTAGTGTTACAAAGTTTCTCTAGCATGATTTGAACAACCATGTTATTAAATCTGCAAAGCTCTACTACGCAATCTTCCACTTTACCAAGCTGGTATGCCATGAAGCTATACTTTGAAACTCACTAGGCTCAATTCCGACTAATTTTTTCAATATTTTTTGATTGAGCTTACACATGTGAATAGTTTGATGTGTTATGAGAGGTTGATCATTAAAAATTACAATTAATTACAATGCAATGATATCCTGAATGAATTTCAGGTTGAATTAATTTTAAGAAGGTATAATGAATATTTATTAAATTATTCAGATTTGGAACATACCAACCATAGCTCAGTTGGTAGAGCGGAGGACTGTAGAGTAGTGCAATCGTTGTAGAAATCCTTAGGTCGCTGGTTCGAATCCGGCTGGTTGGACAATTTTGCAATCTAAAAAGAGTACTTCTGATGCGAAGTATATAAAGCTCGATATGATTGCTTCTATGGTTGTAATTTGGTATTCTATCTCAACCACAACCAGCCATACTTTCGTGATACCAAGTGGTACAACTATCAGAAAAATATGTCTGATCACAGCTGTTTTGATAGGGTCTTGTTTTACTATTTATTAAAAAACTTTACCGATTACATAATTTAAGTTCATCACTGATAAACTCTGCTTTCAAATACTTTCAGCCAAGCTTCTATACGATTTTCGGTGACATTTATTTTTTCTTGTTTTCAACTAGAAATATAAATACTATACATTTTTGTTTTCTAATGAGTGTTTTGTTAAATCTCTCCTGGATAAGTTCTACTTTTTAGAACTTGTCATACTGATGTGATGACTACAAAGCTAAATTTCGGCTGTTCAACAAAATATACTCTTATTTTTAATGGTAGCATTTGGACGGATGATAGCCATGAAATTATTTCGCCGTGGGACGGAAAATGTACATCAAGGGAACATAATATCAGCACTCATATGAGTAGTTTTTAAGAACCATATGACTTCATTTGAACTTATATGAATGGCAGAGCAAATTAATTCAAATTAAATTATAAATCTTACAATGATGAGCACTAGCAAGTTTATCATTCATAGTGTAAAATGTTTTTTCTGCGTAAATACAAACTTTTTTTTCACATATTATTCACCTGATTTGCTGGCAAAATCTTTAATTAATGTTGTTCAACGTTTAATCACGTAATAATTCTAGCCATTCCTAGCAGTAAGCAAAATCGCTAGTTTTGATTGCAAAGGCAAAAATCTTAATCTTCCATTGAATGTCTTCCTGATTATAAGATTTCGCCAAACTTCATCGACTTTAGCTGAAGCTAAAGTCTGATTTTGTAGGAATTTATTTTCTGCTCTTTTCTTTCTCAGATAAGATTTATATTTCTTAAAAGTCATCAAATCGCATATTTTGCAGCGCTTATAGATAGAAGCGAAGAGGCACTTATCATTCACACTATTTCTGTGCTTGATGCAACGTGCCATGAATACTGCTCTTCTAATTTCTGATGCTAAACTGCAGAATTACTCATCGCAAAAATTGTTTAGCTCTACCAAATATTTGAAAATGAATCCTTTTTTATCATTTATTATACTTTCAGTTACCTAAGCATTATACATCAATACTGCTCAAATAACTGCACTATCGCATGTTCTGCGCTGCTTTTCGTGATGAATGATGAATAAGGAGCCCATTAACTACACTGCAATTTGTTGACCAAACTTGCTTTTATTTTTTTCTCATTTATTATTCAAGGAAAAAGGCCAGACATTAGTGATATAACAAAAAATAAAGTGGTAGGAAAAAGGAAAGCTATGCATTTACTTTACTCAAATAAAACTATAATGTATGAAGGAAGCATTTTCAATCATTTTGTTATAGAATGAAAAATTTCATCAGTAAACTTCATATTTCAAATTTATAAAAGGCCTAATATAGAAATGATCTTAAAAAGCTGCTTTGCTTCTTGTTACTACAAGAAAAACTGAAATAATCAGCTAATACTGTAATTCATTATTAATGAACTCAAAATAGTTTTTGACTGCTTGATGAAGTAACGAGAACATTTTTGATTTCGCTCAAGTAAAAAATAGACAGTAGCTAAAAGATTCTGAATCTTATCTTGAGTTAAATTTTTACTTAATCACAAAAAACGAATTTTTTGAAGACCACTTATCGAAAGAGTTAATAATTTTTCATTCAAATGAGACATGAAAGAATATATGCACCATTATAATATCTTAGTGAGGAAGAATAAAAGCATGCCCGCCCCTTCAATATCCAGAAAGTTCCTGGAAAGTTTGATCCAATTCCTCAGAAATACTTTTGTATCGTTCTTTTTCGTGTACGAGTTCATCTGAAATTAGCATAGTAGTAAAACTTTAATGTTTAATCAGACGATAAATTAAGAAATTAGCTAAGAAGACAGGAAACCGGGAAGAAAGTATTAAATCATAATCATGCGGGGCAAAATACGTTTTCTTCAGTAATAATTTTTTCATATGTCTTGTGACTCCTTACATGAATATCTAACTTCAACCACTTACCACTTGTTAATCCTATCAGCAGTGATAGTTAATAGCTCCATACCTAAGTCTTATCAGTGATGCAGCTACAGTGTTATGGATAAAATTACTCTTTCTTATCAAGTTTATTAAAACAGGACGAAATTTTGTTTACGCTATTTCAACAGCGAATTGAAAATTAACGAAAACTTTGAAAGATCTGACAATTATTTAGCATTCCGACATTTATCTTTTGAAGATTTTAAAAAAGTGCGATGAACTTCAATACAGTTGACTTCTAATTTTCCGTATCTTAATATTTAGTATAGTAATGCACTTTCTTTTGAACAAATTCTTTTATAAATTCTAAATATTTGGCTAACTTGACACCGGTTTACTTACAGAATTTCTGAAAAATCTGCATTCACATATGGATTATTTACATCACCACAAAGAGACTTTGATTCATCAAAATTACCTAAAATTAAATCTAGTTTCGTTATCAAAAATTAATCATATTTAACTATTAATTTACGCGAACTCGAATATTCAAATTAGTCTGGATTGCTAACATCCATACCCTCGTATGCAATGCACTACTTTCTCAGGATATCTAACCTTAGATTCTTTCCATTTTAAGGTTTTTTAATCAACAAATACTACCTGAGAACATTTGTTCTAAAAGTACTGTAAACTAATAGACGAAAAGAATTCCGAATTAGAAAAAGCATTGCAGACCTATTTACTGTACACTAAAATACATAGGTACCATTATATCAGCTTAGTGAAAGAGAATTAAAAACATACTCGCCCTTACAGGTCCAGAAAGTTACTACTTAAAAAATATAACTTCAGAGAGATATTTTTCTTGATAATTTGCATTCGACAAATTTGCTCATCAGTCCATGCTGTTAATAAATTATCATTACCATTTTTCTCAGCAAAAAATGAATAAACGAAATGAAGCCGAACTAGCAAGCAAACTAATGCACACTTAATACAGAATCTTCCAAGATTTATGAAGGTTGGGGTGATCTAATATTCTAATACTGTTGCAATGCTAACTTACAGGCTGGAAAATAACGTGAAATCGAAAACTCACCTCAAAATCTTTCAAATGATATCATAAATATAGAAGCGAATGTTTTATACGATGTTAAGAACAAAGCAATCATGTAACACATCGGTCACAAATAACTGAATTAATAGCGTTGAGGATGAGTAGTAGTCACAAAACCAGCATTTCATGCCGATAAATTATAAAAGACTTTCTTGCGGAAATTGTGAGTCAGAGTTCAAAAGTTATGCAAATTTAGAACTTGCAAAATAGCTGAAGACTTTCACAAGGTAAGGCTTCATACAATGACCGGATAAATGGTAATACATTGCAAATTATGGCAAAGACAAAAGGAAAAAAAATGCACACTACTAAAATTGCACAAATGCTAATGAACTTATATTTCAAAAACTGATAAGCTCACAGCAATGGAATTTAATAATAATGCTAAGAACAATATATTAAAGGGATTAATCATCTTTACGCAATATTTTAAGTCAAATTAAAGGTGCCAGCAAAGAATTCAATTAACAAAAGCACTCATGTTGGATAATTTAATCGGGACAAATTTTACAGCAAACTTTATTGAGCCAAAATTATTTTGATCTTCCTCGTCCTCAAACACTTATTCCACAATATTCCTACCCCGATTCATGCTATTATTACATTAGAACGGAACAAAAATTAGTTTTTTTATTCCTAATGATTCATCGTTAAAAAGAGGAATTCTAGAACAAACAAGGTATCAAATATTAATCACATGTCAATTGTTAAAATGAACAAGATCACAAATCTGGGTTAAGAGATTCAAAATCTGTATGAATTTCGGATCGTCAGACAGTATTCAGTTCGCTTAATAGACGATCAAGTTCCTCTTGTAATTGTTTCACCTTAGTATCTGATAGTTCTTTGGCTTCTGAAAAATTATTAAACACACTGATTAAAACTTTATTCAAAAAAAAAGAGATTAGACACACAAATATAAAGAAACCGATTAAATAAAAGTCCTTAGTCTTTAGTGCACATACAAACTTTGTAAGTAAGAGCAAATCAGCACAGCCTTTTCAGGTTTTGATATTGCAAATATGAATTTAAAAGTTATATCCAACAAGTTAATGCTACAAAAAACTCTTTAAAGCAAAAAACCATCAAAATAATAACAAAACTCATAATTTTCTACATTGAAATCAAAATAACCTATCCAATAATCATTTCTAATAGGTAGATTGGTTGAAGAGAAAAAACAACTTTAAGTATTGCAGTAAATTTTTTGATTGTTACTAGCAGTAATGATGATCTTTTACTAATTTTTCACAAGCACAATTTTTATTGTACCAATCAACATGATCTGAAATAAACCATGCCAGTTTCCTAATAAAACTAGTCCTATAAATGTTAAGCATGTAAATCAAACAACTCAAGTCATGTACACGTGCACACGCATTCGAAAAAAGTTAATGAGACCTAAAAGATAAACATTATGTGTAAAGGTTAGATATTATTTCTAGGATAGCTAAAGAAAGGAAGAAGGCACAAAAACTGGAAAAGAAAACGCCTAATAACAGAAAAAGATAGATAGCTTACTGCGATATTTGTAGTTAATAATACTTAAGATGAATATAAAAATTAGAGCAATTATTATGCATACAGCAGATAATACTTTGAACACAAATACCACTGCTGGTGCTCACTTAGTTAGTCAATGTACCTAACAAAAAGTTTAGCACCAACTCTATGTTAACTATTTTTTCCAAATTTTTAGCATGGAAAAATTTAGCTTATCATAGCCATATGCACAATAATCGCTATAATAAACTTAACAAATTGCGATATGTAAAAGCAAATCAACAAATCAAAAGTCAAATGATTTTCCTCTCTCAAATGCTTTTTTATACTTAACTAAAGGTAAGTTTTTTTCTCAAACTATGTCAAAAAATCACATTTGAGAAGTAGAAATTTGAAAATCAAGTTCTTTATTGTATTTCATATCTTTCACTATAGATTTAAAGTTAAACTGGGGAAGAAAAAATTAAAGATAGCGGACAAAACAAGACATAATTCAAAACATGTATTCTTATGCACACATATTTGGATAAACATACGCTTTTATAAGACGAACAAAATAAGGACGATACAGACAGGTGGAAATATTTCAGGAACTCTGAATTTCTTGCACGGTTTGCTCGATTTCTTCCGTCAAGTTACGTACACGTTCTTTTTCGATTAATAACTCATCTGTAGGTAATGGAAGTAACAAACAATCGATGTTTTTCAAAAGACACCGATAATTACTGGACCGTAACAACACATTATACCAAGTAACGCAACTTTACATGGACATATACAATATTGGAGTTTAGATTAAAAACGAATGCACAAATTAAGCTTCTACTAAAAATAATTCGTTTCATTTTTAAGAAAGAAATCGGGAACTGGAAGGGAAAATTTTTTTATTTGAATAGATTTTTTGCAATATGTTAAATGTTATTCCATATGTAATTATATCAAAGATTTTTAAGGATACTTTTTGGAACCAATAAGTTACAGTATTTTGGTTGTAAGTACTATGTGCAACGGAATATCAAAAAAGTAAGCAGTTATACGAAATACTGAGCGTAAACTCATGTTTTTGATGTCTAATACATCCCTTAAATATCGGCATTATTGACAATTGCATTTCCCAGAAAATTATGCACTATCAGCAGTATATATTGATATAGAAGATCAAAACTTTATCTACTGAAATTACTCACAAACATTTAAATTTTTCAAGAAACCAATTTTCTATCATACTTAAATATAAATACTAAATTGGTGAAACAACAAACCTTCCAGTCTATCAACTTCTTTTTGCAATTTCTGCACAGATCTTTCAGCAAATTCTGCTCGTGTTTCTGCCTGAAATCACAACAAAATCAATTCCATGAGTGATTCAGTTAATTGAGGCGCACAACACGTGGAAATATATAGAATACACACAACAGCATGCAAAACAACACACAGGGAAACAATAACAGATCCTGACTTTTGCATTAACTTAAAATTTGTCAAAACTCCTATTTGGGATTTATATGCTCTAATCTTATGTATATCGCATAAAATTAAAAAAGTGCAACTTTCAAGATACGTTTTCACTATCATTTTTTTTATTTCCTATGTACAGACAATCCTACCTCCTTCAGACGTGCTGAGACTGTGCGAATCTGTTCCTCATATGAATCTTCACGTTGCAAAGCTTTTTCTTCAGATACTTCCAAAGATTTCAAATTATTGCCAACAACACGAAGTTCTTCCTCCAATTCCACAATCTTGCTGCACAAATAACACAAACATTTCTATCAAAAAATTTCTTGGCAAATAAAATAGATTAAGACAAAAATAAAAAAGATTGACATTCATTATTATTTAATATCAAATATATAATGAGACTCGTATTAACCAAGTAATTTTTCAGCAGCATGCAAAGCTAACACAACACAACAATTTCTAGCAATTAATACTTTCACGACACACACAATAATAAAATCCACTTCACCAAATCTTGCATTCCACTTTTCGCATATGTTGTCAACTATGAGGTCAAAGGTGATGTGATTACCATCATCCTTTGCATTCTCTATACTCAACACCGTTTCACAAATCTGATTGTGTAACTATTCCTATTTACTCAGTGAGATGATACTATGAAATGTTGCTGGTGTATCCATTCCCTATTCTTAACTAATTATAGGTTAGTGCTTTTGCTATTCATTTCAGCTTATATTTTCGCTCTCAAAATATCACTTTAGTTGTAAACACTAATTCAATAATAAATGGTACAATTTCTGCAAAAATTTATTTTGAACTGGTTTTCTTATTATTCACTAATTCAAATCCAAATCGTTTTATAAAGAACTGAAGTGAATTATAAAAGTAAGCTTTACAAAATACGACCCATAAAAATTCATATTATAACATGAGTGATTTAACTAAACCCTTTGATATGACTAACTAAAGGTATATTATACTCATAAAACTAGAACTCAATAACTTTATACCGTTGACCTCAAGGCTGCAACATCACTATTTTTTACCTCTTTAATCCGATTTTGTAAGCTTTGTACATGATCGGAGAAAGAATTTTCACGTTGTAATGCACGTTCTTCGTGAACTTCCAATGTTTTCAAATTCATTCCTACCGCAACCAGTTCACGTTCCATTTCAAGTGCTTTTCTGTTATTGTTTTTTTTTTCAAGTCGATATGATAATTTTTCAATTAGAAAATGAAAACATCGTAAGTTAGTGTTGTGCACGCTTTTAAGCCTCGACAAAAAATAAGTTTTCTTATATTCATAACCATCTGCATTTTTGTTATTAATTTAGGCTTTATAAGTCTAACTTGAGTGAACGCAAAAATAGGTTAGTGTAAGAAGAATGCTGCACAAATTCCTCATAACTTTTTCTAAACTTATTGTCTTAAACAAACAGTCATTAACTTTACTAGACTAAATTACCATCAAATTCACTACCTCTAATGTCACCATTCCTAATAAATCTGTCGAAACATGATGCAGTAAACTTTACCAAAATGTACACCAAACATTTATATTATCCATACTGTTAAGTTTTAATCAATGTAAATTCACTTCGACATGCCTTATTAAGATTTATAAAACTGAAGCAAGAGTAAAAACCAGAAGTAGAAAACTTTTCTTTTTGACTTTAGTTCCGTAAATTAAAAGAGTCAAAAAAATATGCAAAAGCAAAAACACACACAATGAATTTTCGGAAAACTTTGAACAAACACACACACACACAGTAGTAAAGAAATTAATTTCACTAATCTCCTCCACTGAAAAGAAATTAATTTCACTAATAAAAAAGTATAACATTTGAACTCGGGTAAAAATCAGCTAAAATAATATGAAAACTAACTTTTCACCGGCTTCAGCACGCTCCTCTGCTCGTTCCAAATCAGCTTCAACCATAGCTAATTTACGTGCTACCTATAAACAGATAAAAATGCTGAGAATCATTTTTACCACTGTCAAGAAATAATTACATCACACCAATAATAATAACAAATCTTTAGAAAAGAAAATGAGTTGATCGAATAATAGAGGTAGCTAATCAGGAAAGCTAATCACAATTTTGAAAAAATTAATGAGAACATAACATATTGACTGATAGATGAATGCACTTCTCAGTCCCCTGGCCAATGAATTAATGATTATTTGAGATCAAAACGTAGCTTTAACTTGTTTTCAAGTGAAAAGCACAGCTATCAAAGTCCATTAAAAACATGTGTAAAATTATTTTTGATACATTTTAACTCATCGTCTATCAGTCATTGATGTTTTTAATACACTAGAAATCAATTACATTGTCTGTATATTCGTGAAACCATTTACTTTGATATTATTTACCGTGAACAAGTAATCGAAAGAGCAGAAATGTGGAAATACATGGAAAATTTACATCTAAAGAAAGGGTATAATCATAATCAAAAGTCATAACTTATTGTGTACATTCTATCATGCAATCAAAAGTGAACATTTTTCATTAAAAAGCAGTATCATTGGATAATATCTCATCTGAAAGACAAATTCAACTGTTTCAAGAACTGAAGTGTGAGATAACTTTTCGGTTAAATGAACAAGGCAATACCAAACACATGAAAAACAACTAGAATTGGCATCAATCAAATTTTACCAAACGTAAATTAATTTGAAATTCAGATTTAATACTGGACCGGCGAGTTTTCAAGTTTCTTTCATTGATAAATAAAATCTATATGCTACATTACTATTACCGATGTTCTTACTGTTACTCATAGCTATAAATTACAATACTTATAGTTATGCAATGTGCGCATCGTTTTGCTATAACGACCATAAATGATGTATAATCAGATTCTATTTATTAACAACCGAATACTAACTAGTCACTTACATCACTGCTGTTTCCAATTACAATAATATTTACACCATTTTCATCGTTACCTTACTAACCAATACTTTCACTACCCATCATACCCGTAATTTATTTACCTAACTACTGTTGTACAATATAATAAATAGCAGGTCTACTTCCTTTATAAAAATATTTCAGTTTATCACCTCATCATATTTGCGATCAGCTTCTTCAGCCAACATTTGTGCTTCCTTCAATTGTGATTCCACAGTGTTAGCTCGTTCTTCATCTTGGAAGGAACGATTTTCCATTACTTTGCGAACACTAAATCCCACAAACAAACATAATACACGAACAATACACATAAAAGGACTTAATTTCCCAAAAAATTTTTATTCATTTTATTTAAAATTCATTCAGAAATAAAAAGTTTACTCATCCTTACTAAATTCAATATTTATATCTCTTGAATTTATACCAATTGTATACATTCATAATTGAAAAATGATTAACAAATCCGAAACTGATTGTATTATTACTTTACTGTTTAATTTCCTGATATTTAAGACTGGAAATAGAATGAAAAACGTGACATTCTTCGATTTAATTCCATTGAAATGAGAATGCAAGGAAAACCCAACCAATCCAACCGCCAAATGAAGCCATTTAAATTAAATACACTCACATTTATAAGTAATGAGATCAAAATAGAGGAGGATTCACCACAAGTAAAGGGGGCAGGAGAAAAATAATTTAAAATATGTGGCATTGTGTCGAAAATTATTTGTCAAAAAATATTTCGTTCAGTCGATAATTCCAAAAAAAATGTTAAAGGATATCAAACTTTTTTTTGGAGATTTATGTCGATTCTTTAAAAGTGTACGAAAGAAGCTTGATAAGACAAGAAAGCGAAAATCAGATTGGGTTAGCATATTTGTGCACGCAATACAGGAATATACTTATTGAAGTCATCCAGAAGAATGAATCAATGAAAAAATTACAAGATGATAAAATGTTAACTTCGGGTTAGACATAAATCAACAATTCAGGTAGAAATTAATATAACAATTATTCCACACCTGTAATTTTAAAGTACTGCATTAAAAATTAAACCAAAATTCTACGCTCAAAATTGTGTTACATGCATCGAATTCAGTCAATGCTTAATTTCATCTTCAGTTTTTCAAAGCAGATTTGTGCAAGAGATTTTCATTGAAAATGAAAATAACTAAACAGAAAATTCACCTTGTGAGACATGCTAAATTTCAGTAAAGTTATTATCTTCTTAACAGCTTTTCAGAAGAAATCTTAGATTCTACTTGTGAGTAAACATCGATCAAATAAACAATAAAGCACACCAAATCAGTTAGAAATTAATAAAAGAAATCCTTTATAGATAAAAAGCGTTCAGATAAAAAAATTAGTAAAAACAAGCATAACCTCATCTGATTTATTTTCTGTTTCAGCCAATAATGCTTGCGCTTCACGTAGTTTTTGCTCCAACTCACCGCATCGGTCATGATCCACGTCTACGCGATTTTCCAATGCTTTACGTGCACTAAATTTGTACAACAAAAGAAAAATGCACCTTCACATGTCTTTTTGTCAAAGCCTGTAGTTTTAGAATTAATTTTGCTTTACAGATACCAAAAATCAATACGCGATATCGAAAACATCATTAGTTATGAGTCAAACTATGCACAGTGTCATCAGTTATATTAATAACAGTCAATCAGGTGAGCATATTAGCAATTCAGTCAAACAAACGCAAAACTTCATTTTCTGCTGATATGTTTTTGTAGTTGAAAATATCATTTTCTTACTACTTCAAGTTAATTAACATCGTTCTGCTGATCAAATAATATGCAAAATGTACGCAACATGCAGTAAACAAACTAAGCATACATGCATGTGTGATTGTAGTTAGCTATAAAATCAACATTATACATCCAATTCGAATTGCACAGTAGTAGCATACAATACAAATTAACGTGAAGAATTAAAACATGAATGGCTGACAATATTAATATACAAATTTATGAATTGTGATATGCATATCTGAAATCAGATTTACGACAAACTTTTGAATAAGTTAGGATAACGAACAAAGCAAACAAACAATTTTATCAACACAAAATAAGGCAACCTTGGTGGTAAAAACAGAAAAACAAAGGACGAGAACAACGAACAGACAAACAACCTCTTCATATTTTCGATCCGCTTCTTCAGCAATTACTTTCGCTTCATCTACTTGCACCTCGAGCACATTGGCACGTTCTTCATCTTGTTGGGATCGTGTTTCCATTGATTTGCGGGCACTAAGACAAAAAGAGAAACACGAATCAACATTAGTAAAATAGCAGAAACTAGCAAAGCTATACTAAGCTGACCCATTTGATGATAATAAAAAAGCTGACAATATATTTGCCAAGCAATAAAAGTGAATGTAAGTGTGCAAAAATCACTTTCTCTAAAAATGCTGGCTCCAAGCTTTTATTTATAGATTAATGAAAAGTTGACAAGTTCTAGTAAGCTTATATCGACTAAATTGATATTATTTCGGTACAAAAACACTTATCTAAACAATGCAGTATTTGATACCTTCCAATTTTGAGTTTGGGCTGATTATATAAATAATCCTTCAGAGACACTGAAAACTAAGCTGAGACGAAATATTTGGAAATTCAATCAAAATTAAAGCTCTTATTCAGCGCTTTCTTGCATGATTAGACTTCATTTTCAGCAAGCACATTTTTTTATACGTCACTAAATTAATAAACAGTAAAGGTTAGCTTCCAATTTGTTTGCAAAAACAGCATTCAAAAATCTAATATCTTATGTTATCACGTATACATTTTGCTTTCATGCATACAAAATATGAAGCAAGCTTCTTAAGCAATGAGGAAAAATTTTGCATTGACAAGAACTTATATTTTCAGTACTGCTTCTGCTGACTTCGTATTGTTTAAAGTGGAAGATAAATTTTTGGTGAAATTCAACAAAATGAGTCTCAGGAAAGAGCCAAAGAACAAATTACTAATTCTTTTAATTTATATTTATATATATTTATTTATTATTTGTGATTCAGCCGGTTTGGTTGGATTCTTCTCCCATCCATTTCAGCTGGACCAAATCTTGAGAATATCCAGCAGACATTTCTATTCTCCTGATATACCCTAAATTTTGCTGACCGTTCAGATTCATCTGCCGTATGCGTCGCTTCTTCCAATTTATCAGTCGCAATCTTTAAGCGCTCCTCTGCTCGTTCCAGTTCTTCTTCAAGCAGTGTCATGCGACGATTTAAGGCCGCTACTTCAGCCTCAGCCTAGAAGTTGCAGTTAGCTCCATTCCATCCTTTCACTTCCTTCGGAAGCTGGATTTTCTATATCCCCCCATAGCAAACATATTACCCTAGTAACCTCCCAAAATCCCTGACAGAAAATCAAATCCTATCAGAAACTATTCTACTTCTAATAAACTGAACTTTCTTTACTTGGCTTTTTGGATTAACTATTGCAAATAGCTTTTTTACTTCTAACTTAAATATTTTTTATTCATGAAAAAATGCGATCAAACCATCAGTTTTTAAAGTAGTCAAAATTTGCGGCAATTTGAAAAAGCAAATAACAATTATTTTGCTCTAAATTTGGAGTAGTGAAACCAACAAGATGTTTTGAAAGAAAAGTGATTTTAGCACTTTTCTTGAGTTTCACCTTCACTAATTATTATTTGTTACCGTTCAGCTTCATCAGCTGCTTTAGATGCTTCCTCTAATTTTGCTGTGGCATTCTTTAAACGATCCTCAGTCCGCTCTAAATCCTCCTCAACAAGCACAATCCGTCGATTCAACGCAGCCACTTCAGCTTCAGCCTGAATCAGTCAAATTTGAAGTCATTCACAAACATAGAATTGTGTCTCTCTCAGATTTCATATTTGCTTATAAACAATCAATAATAGCAAAGTTCGATTAATTTTGAAGTTATTTTTTACAAAGTTAAAAGACATATTCACTGCCTTCATAACTCTGCTTCAAATTGATGCTAAGACTGTATTCTAGAATACAAAAACACTGTATGTAGTATACTTATATTGTAATCAACAATATAAGCGCCCAGTGGTTTCAAGATAAAAACTTGAAAAATTAAAGAAAATCTATTGATCTTCTCATTTCTCTCAGACTGTTTAGCGATATCCTTTTTCTCACTTAAGAAATAACATTGGATTCGGCTCTTGATTAATTATTTTCAAACATTTTATCGCTTTTTATACGAAAAATCAGTTTGATTTAAAACCGATTTTTGCATGCTGACAGATATCAGTTCAAAAAGAATGAAATGTCTGCGATAGAGAAAGGAAAATCACTCTCAAACACAATAAATGAATCATTCTATCTGAGTTTGAATTTTCGTTAAGTAAATAAGCATTGGAGCTTGAATATGGTACTGGGTGATAAAGAATCAAAATGTTTCATAATGTAAACCAAAATATACTGAAAACTTTATTAGATTCACAACAAACTGCGCTTAGCTAAAAAACCTAATAAATCGATTTTATCTTCTAAGTCCTTGGTAATAGATGGATGTTTAACCAGTACTTTCCTAATACAAATCTGAAGTTAAACTTTACATACATCCTCTCGCTTTTTCCGCTCTTCCTCCAGAAGTCGCTTAACTTCATCAGCTTCATCTTTAGCTGCTTCAGCTTCCTCTCGAGCTTGACGCATTTTCTTCTTGAGCACATCAAGAAGTGATGTTTGTTGAGCTCCAGTTTTATCTGCTTTCGACATCTTTTTATTTCTACCTGAATTATCATAGAATTTCACATATTAATAAAAAGAGATATAAAAGAGAATTTAAGTTGTATGCAGATTTATAAAGTTTTGAGCTCAACTTGAACAGAAAAGTCAACAACCAATAAGCAAGGATGATGCATGAAAATTAAATTCTCAAGTTTCAAATTTCGGCATTATTTCTAAGCAGTGTAAATTACAAACAAATCTATCTTTGTGCATAGACTGCTTGAACGGCAGAGTTGTACAATCTCAGAAAAAATGAAATAACTGAAGCAAGAATAATTTGATGGTATTTGTCCTCAAAAGTTAGAGTGGAATACTTACTTCAAGTTAGAAAGAGTGCTGTAAAATTATGTCAACAAAGTGATGAAAAATACTGTTTTACTTTCAAATTCTTTCCCTTCACTTTACTTTCATTTTCTTACTCTCACATAATCCAGTTTATCTACTCACCAAGAAGCTTATAACCAAACTAGTAATTTTTAAAAGTAGCACTAAAATTTGCTGCGCTGATCGACTACAATAAATCTCATTACCACGGAAATTACAACAGTCTTTCCTAAAAAACACGAAACAACTTTCAGTATATAGTAATAATCAATATGCATAAAGAAATAATAACTGAAAGTGATGAAATGAATGGTTTTTATGTCCCTCCAAAAAATTTAATACACTTAATTAAAGTAATTCGAATCCGAAAAAATGTTTCTTTAGGACTTTAGTTTTATAATCTCAAACATAGAGGATTTCAGTTCAAACTGGCAGGAAAAGACTGGAAATAACCAAATTTCGATTCAAATATAACAACTGAACTTTACATCCTCAATTTTCTTATTTTTGTGTCTAAATTCCTGACTAAGAACAGAGAAATATAGAGTATAAAACATTCAACAATAAGTAATATTATTTAGGTAGGCAAGCCGTATCTTTAATTGTAGGTGAAGGTGTAATTAAAGGTGTAATTAATTTCAATATAAACAAAGTAATGTGAAATGATTATATTTTAGCTCCTAAAATCACTGGCACCTAAATAATGCAGGAAACTTTACATTTTGAGGAAGGTAGTTTTTACACAACTTAAATTTTATGTATATATATATATATATATATATATATATATATATATA